AAAGCCAAGAGAAATAGGTAAGCATGCTCGTATTTTCCCACCTTTGCTTACCTGGAAGGTGTGAGACGCATGCTGATTATCCATGATCAACATTTATAATAATCAACATGCTTAAATCTTTTCATTTTAGCCAAGCTGCCAAAGAAGGCTGTGCATGCAAACAAAACTGGTAAGACCTGATAAAAAATAAATCTGGGATATTCCATTTTCCACTTTGAAAATTAACCAAAGACTACAGAAATGGGTGTTCCATAAGAGAAGTGGCTAACTACTGAAATAAAACTTCAAACGTAGATAGGAGACTACATTCTGTGCGATGTGATTATCTGGCCAGAAGGGCCTTTTTGTCCTTCTGCTTTAAATGTGGAATTAAAAGGCTCACTGATTTATAATGATCCCAGTCTATGATTTTAACCTGTTTGATGTATGGAATTATACCCCCCCACACACTTTATTTGGTACTCTCAGATGCAGAAATCATGTTCTTGTCTTCCTTTTATTTTCTAGAAACACACAAGAAAGAAAAGCCAATAGAAATAGGTAAGTATCTTATCACTGTACCTCTTTTATGTCTCTGAAGGAAATGATATAGCGGAGCTGTTCATAAATAAAATAAAATCCTTTTATTTTAGCCCAGCTGCCAAAGAAGGAAATCCATGTAAAGGAATCTGGTAAGTAAATCTAGCAAATTATACTTCCCATCAATTAACCCAAGCGTATTAGCATGAGTTTGCTTTGAAAAGTGTCTGACTGAAGAAATCAAATGACAAGGATGGATAATAGAGGGCCTTCTGCCCACCCTTGGTGTCTCAGGGCTCATCCCTTGCCCTGGCTCCAGGGTCATTTGTTTACCATTTCTTGAAAATGTGCCCTCACATGAGATGCTTCATCTTAGGCTTTGCTTGCCACTGAGGCAGGCTCGAGTTCTTCCAGGTGATCCACCCATAAAGTGATGTTTCCCATCAGAAAACAGAAGGAGACTCCTCTATGACTATTCCGAGTTGCCCAGAGAAGGAGTCTTCTAGAGTTGGTAACCTGCTGGGTACCATTTGGCCCAGAACAGGACCACACCATCCCATGTGGCCAAGGATCCTTGTGAATCCATTGCCATT